TGGGCCCCAGGCCCCTGCCCACCGCCCGGGCGCTGGCTACCGGCGCTTTTATCCATTTTTATGTGGTTCTAATGCTCCCGAAGAGCCGCAATGGCGTCTTTGTGACACAGAAGCAATTCAGCAGCCTAAATTTAACAGCTTGACCTGATGTCTAATCTGGTACTATTTAATAATATGAAGTATCTCCACACCTTTTAGGGTACTTGCTTGAGATCCATGCTTAGCATTGCCAGATTTATTTTCTCTGCCCTGTCCTTCCATAGCTATTTGCAGTCCAGGTTACACATGCAACATGTCCTCTGTTTGTTTGCCAAGCCAGTGCAGTGTAGGGTGGGTTGTCAGCTACACAGAATTTTTTTTTAAAATCTGGCCAACTGCATGCTTGCAGCAAGTGATTCCATACTTTTTTCCAAAGCTTTATACAAGATGCCTTGCATCACTGGACATGCTGATCTAGTTACTACTAGATGTTTTTCAGAATTTCCAATATTACACCAATAACAGTCATGTTTATATATTTAAAGAGTCTGCTGGTTTTCATAAAATGTTTCTCAATCATAAAAATGAGGTCTGGGCAAGGAGTTCGTACAAGAGAAGCAGCATACAATAGATGAAAATAAGCTGTTCACATATTTCCACGTTTTATGGTTCTGATTTTTTTTGGCATTCCTATGATTTTAATGTACAACAGACTCAGACACACAAAAAAATGGATCCATACCATTTTAAAAATTTGAGAATAATTGTAAATGGTCAAATGTTCCCATGTCCCAACAATTGTTTTAGCTCTTCCTCAGTTTGAAGACTCGGACTATTTGTTAGGAGGTCAGTTTATTACAGATTCAATGTATCCTACATGAAAGGGATTGCTAAGAACATCTGCAGCCCATGTCATACCTAGAAAATGGTGTGTTTGTCTCCACAGAAATTAATGAGGCTTTACAGCAAGGCTGAGATTTCCCATGTGATTTCGGATGAGACCTATGTCAGCTTTGACATGATATATGTGCTCTTACAGCTTACAAAATATTGCACTTGGCTGAGTCACTGACCTCATTTTAAGGCAATTGGCTGTTACACAGATGATCCACAGCCTTTTAACAACTGGTCCAAA